ATGGAGAAGACCACTATTTTTTTTTAATATAATAGCTTGTTGGTTTTTTTTAATAATATTATTATTAGTCTTTACAAAGCATGAATAAGAACTACTAAAATCGGCCTAACAGTGAGGAATTAGGATAATATGCTATAGAAGTCATAGGTTCTCAATGCAATAATTGTATATTAAAAAGAACATGAATAATTTAGGTGCTTAACAAGACTTGTTAGCCTACTTAAATCTATAGATTTATTTATAGATCTTCTATAAAATAAGGTACTTAAATACACAATTTCAGGCAGGCTAGGTAGAATTTTTAATTAATTTATTTATTTTACACATAAGTAAAGTGTAAGTATATCATATGTATAATGATATACATGTACCCAACAAATATGGAACAGAGTCGACCTAATTAAACATAAAATTAAACAAACTCTTTCTTTAGACTTTTTTTTTTTTTTTTTTTTTTTGTATATAGTGCTAGTATCAAGGTCTATTTTTCTTTGTAAATAGAATTTGAACATTGTTAAAGATTCTTTTTAAGGATCCAAATTTTTTATTACTTTGATTCATTTTATAAAAATTTCACATTAGAATTTGTTTTTGTCCAAAAATACATTTAACTGCTCTTGACAAAGATGAAAATTAAAATTGTTATCCACACATGTTTAAAAACGAATATAAATAATTACTTTTAAACACAAATACAAAAATATTATAGATTTTTTGTAGACCTAATATATCCATTGTCATCCCTGGAAGAAATATCTCCATTACACATGGATGGTAAAGTTAACAAAATTTATAATTTTTAATAAATTTTAATTAATAATAAAATATTTTAAAAAATTATGGATAACATGTCTATCAATATAAAAAAGTATTCATGTATCATTATTCTTATTGGTGGTCTTCTCCCTCACCATTCAGGCAGTAACATGCTTTTACAGTACAGTAGCATAAAATCATCAGCGGGTTTTTACGATAGAGAAGCACGAGCTCCTCTGTTGTTATTTTTTTTTTAAATCTCTTTTTGTTTTTAAAAATTATTTTTTCAAAACTCTGAAACTGTGCTAAAGTCAATTTCTCCTTTTAAAATATGTCAAAAAAAAGAAGTTAAGTACAATATATGCCTCCCTAATTTTTCACTTCTTAATTATAAGTGTTTTTTTATGATAAAAATATATTTTTAGTTCCTTTAAAAAAATTAAAATTTGATTTTAGTCATTCTAAATTTATTTGTCCTATTTTAGTCCTTCTAAAAAAAATTTCCAATTTAAATCTCTCTTAATTTTGAAATATATTACTTTTAATCTTTAAAATAGTTTAAGTAGTATTTTATAATTATTTTTTAAATGATATCTAATATATTATAAAAGTCAGCAAATTCACTATTTATAGTTACTTGTGGTTAAAAGACTATAAAAGTATTACATTAGTGTTTTAAAATGTTATCTAATATATTTGAAAGATTAAAAATAATACATTTTCAAAATTGATGGACTGAAATAGAACGAGTAAATCTAAAAAATTAAAAACAAATTTTGATAATTTTAAAAGGACTGAAAATATAGTGTGTTTTTTTTTTTTTTTTAATTACAAGTGCTTAATGACGACTATAGTACAACGAATGTGACAATGGACAAATATGAATTATTGTCACCTGTCACTGCACTCTATCATGGCTGAGGTAATGAAATTAATCAGAATAAGTATATGATTTAGGCCCATGTTTATCGACAGATAAATTCAAAATATTTAACTAATAAAGATATCCTCAAGGCAAAAGGTTATTGGAAAAATAGAAATGTTAACTACATATTCTTTGAAATAGTCTTTTAAATACACCTTTTTTAATTAATTGAAATTTATTGAAAATTAAAATTTTTGATAAATCTCATATGTTATTTAATGATTCATTTTTAATAAATTATAATCGATAAAAATAAGTGTCTTAAAGAAATATATTATTAATACTCCTCATCAAGTAAATTAGGAATGTCATCGAGCAAAAAGCAAAAGCAAATCTATGTTGAGACAACACATTTTTTCCCATCTTCACTCTTCTCCTTTCTTTCACATAATTTTTTATTTTTTATTTTTGCTATTGTATTCCCCCACCCCACAAGAAAAAAAGAAGAAGGTTTAATTACTAATTTGCTACACAATTACTCTTATTTGGAATTGAAAAAGCAAAATAAAAGAGGAAGAGGATGAGAAAGAGACCTAAAAGTGCTTTGATCCTTTGGATTACACGAAATCATAAAGCCATTATTGCTTTGTTTAAAGTTAAAGACTTGAAAGTGGTTACATCAAGGGAGAAAAGAAAAAAAAAAATTCCAAGTGGTGTACAGGTGGATTTGCACAAACTATCTTAAAAGTGTTCTCCCAAGGCCCCAACCATCAATAGTACCCAATGATAAATCTCAGTAATTTAGGAATAGTTAGTTCTTCATTAACAAACCAATGACATGATCCAAAGATAAAATTTATGTTACGTTTAATAATACAGCCACAAGCAAGTAGTAAAGTTCGGAGGTACTAAAATTATGTTGAAGTTGATAAGTTGATATCATAAACAAGACAAGACACAATTGGAGGAGGGCTTTTTCGCACGTGCGTGCAGGAGCGTGTGATGAGTTAGACCAAAGCCAAAAGGCAATCATATATTATTCATGCAAAGAATGATTCGCGCGAAATTGGGCTGAACCCAAACCCAGCAGCGTTTTGATGAATAGATGGGCCCAGAAAGGTGAATTTGTAATATGCAACAAATTAAAACACCATGATTGCACCTTTTTGGTTTCTACTTTTGGGCTCAATTACCGACGATGGAGCAAAACTATTCTCCTTTTAGAACCTAATCCTTAAATAATGCATTCTTTTTATTGACCAGTAATATATGCATAGGAATAGGATATGTTATAATGTTATATGTATTATGTAATACCCAACAAAAGGCTTTTCCAAGGGCATGATTTGAATTAGGGGACCCTACCCGAGACGCAAAGGGTTCAGGTTATTGGAGGCAGGGAAAGCTTTTCCCAAAGCTACTACTTTTTACGGTAACAATTTTCTTTTGGTTGACGCTTTCTGTTTGTCCTTTAAACTAATAATGCATGCTCCTCAATCCTCAATCCTCAATCCTCAATCCTCATCTCACTTGGCACCTCTTTGGTGGAACCTACTTCACACTATGCCTTATTTTGTCCTCTAGTGTAACAGAATATCCTTCATTAGTGACGGACACTCGTTGTTGTGTGATTAGACTTTGTTTCATAGTGAGAAATTTATGCTGATTAATGAGTGTAATGGTAACGTTAGGGGAAAAGTGAGTGAAAAATTGAAATGGGTTCTGGCATTCCCATGTGAAATGGAAGATTTGTGTTTGTCCATATTAGCCATGCCCATTGCATATGCTTAAATAATGTTATCTTGGGAAAAAATAGTGCACACAGAGAAAATGGCGTTAGTTGGCTGGCACGCATGATAAAGTGAACTGTTGAGCCAAGTCATGCACCACGGTTTGCATGCTCACGAGTCATGACATGTTAAAACAACTTATTATTATTGGTAGTACTAGATACTAGTACATGATAGATAATTTATTTATAAATTAAAATTTGGTATTGGAAAATGTTATGGTTTTAGAGAATGGGAAAACCAAGGGGTAAAAAACTGCGAGGGCAAAGCTTTTTCCCCATCCCTAGCAAAAACAAAAATATAACGGAAGAAGAAAGGACAAAGGGAGAAGAAAGATAATATAATATACTGGTAAATGAAAAAGACAGCACAAGCAGCCAAGTTTTCGGACAACTTTTTTATTTAAATAAATAACAGTTACCAAGTTTTTTTATTTCTCTAATTTCGATACATTATATTTCTTTTCTTCTCTCTGGGTCCATTTGTGATGAAGATCCCGTAGGTCAGGTGTATGCATCCACTTATAAAATTGAGAAACAGTGTTGAATATATATAGATTTTTATTAAAATTAAAATGATATAAGGAAAATGTTAAATTAATTGGAGAGCACTTTTGTTCGTGAAGTTGGAGCGGTCAGCACCCCGCAGGAATCAAGACTGATCTCTGACGTACTGAACCCTCCTTTTCCTCAAGTGGATTGTCAATACTCAATACCAATATTAATATCTAAACCAATTACTCTACTTATTTAACTTTTTTTCTTTTCATTACACATTATTCTCATTCTAGAGCAATCCTTTTTGTAAAATTCGAATCTTGTTGCATTTTCATTATTTTTTTTAACAAAATTTAGATCAGGATGATACATTACCAATTTTTTTTAGTGAAATTACGCTTTAGTTACCTATAATATTTAATTTGTAATTTTACTTTCTAACTTCTAATTTTGTGATTTTAATTATTCAACTTTATAAAATTTGTCATTTTAGAATGTTACTTTCTTGATATCTATTATAAGTAAAAATAATTAATTTATACATATTAAAAAAAATTGTTACTTGTATTAAATTTTATTATTCTTATTAAGTTTTTTTTTTCTTATAACAAAAATACAAGTAATTGTTAAAATTATAAAACTAGTTATAGTTTAACATTAAATATGTACATGAAAGTTAATGTGACACTTATTTTATTAACATACTTATTAAATAAAGAAAAATTATTTCAATTAACAATAGTTCCTGTAAAAACAAACACTATATGGTTTTGAATATAAACAAACAAACGAAAAATAATTTGTTGATCTTAATAGAATTTAATCTCAACTAATTTCATTCGTATTTTGAACATATTTATTTATTCAATTGAGAATGTATTTTCAATAATAATTTTTATTATTAATATTAAGGTCTAAGAAAAGTAGATTATTTTTAAACTAAACTAGAGAAATATAATAATATTAATAAAATAATCAATAATTCTTTTCAAATTGAATGTTGAAAAAAAAAAAAAAACGCGAGGTGATATGAAAAGTTAATTAACATTGAGTGATTAAGTAAGGTATATAAAGACATAGTTAAACGAGATTGTGTGTGGTTGGGAAGAGCAGAAAGCAAAGCAGTAGCATACCATGCAGAGGTGTTTTAGTTTTAGCAAACACGGTCCAATCAAATCATGGGTCTACCAATACTACCAAATATACATATAATAGTATAACCATTCTTCTCCTTTCTTCTCTACAAACCTAAACCCAAATCTCCCTCCCAAAGCCCCATAAAAATGCAATCATTTCTCGCGTGCCTCGCTTTTTCTACGTCACTACTATTATTTCTACTACTACCTTTCTCTCATGCCGGTTTAGTCTCCGAACCGGTGAGCGACCCCAACCAGCCCCTGGAACCGGGCGAGCACCCCTCCTCCAACACGGTACCCGCATTCCCGGTCCAGACCCAAGCCCAGACCTGCCGGCTCGACCTCTCCAACGAGCTCTTCGGCGGCGTGAAGGACGCCTGCGGCAAGGACCTCGACCGCAGCCGCTGCTGCCCCGTCCTCGCGGCCTGGCTCTTCGCCGCCCACGCCCGCTCCGCCCTGGAGGTCTCCGCGGCGCCACCGCCCTCCTCCGCGGACCTCCCCATGATGCCGGACGACTCCCAGAAGTGCGTGAACTCCCTCCAAGACTCCCTCCTCGCTCGCAACATCCGAATCCCCCAACCCAACGCCACCTGCGACGCCATCCTCTGCTTCTGCGGCATCAGACTCCACCAAATCACCTCCTTAACCTGCAACGCAGCGTTTAACGTCTCTCTCTCCCACAAAAACGCCACCCCCACCGCCGCCGTCCGCAGCCTCGAGAACAATTGCCGCAACTCATCCTACGCCGGTTGCACCAAATGCCTTGGCGCCCTGCAAAAGGTCCATTCTCAAACCATCATTAATTTAATTCATTGCCTGAGGCTCCCTTATAAATACACTGCTTTCACATTATTTCTAAACAATGTGGGATTTGCAAATTTGCCGACCAAGGTTGACCTGGGAACATGACATCCCACGTGCCTTTACGAATTATTAGAAAGTTGTTGGATTAGAATAACGTGGTTTTTGGTTTTGCGTTGTTGAAGGTGAAGGGGTACAAGAATGAGAGAAAGGGTTACGGAGGGAGTGATAGGGTGAAGAAGATGTTCAACCGGGACTGTCAACTAATGGGTTTAACGTGGTTGCTAGCGAAGAACAAAACGACGTACATACCGACCGTTTCAGCGGTGTTGCGTGCGATCATGTACAGCGCGCATCCACACGAGTCCAAGTGTAGTCCCGACCAGGAGAACATGCCGCTGGCCGTTGATTCGCTTCAGTTGGAGAGTGGGAACGCGCCATTGCGAGCGTTGACGCTTTTGCCCCTGGCGTTGGCGATTCTACTTGTTTCATCTTTTGTTTAGAAGGGGAAGGGTCCACTTGGGTTGAAATTGAACTGTTAGGTTAGAGTCCTCTTCTCTCTCTCGCTGTCACGTGAAGCTGAGCTACTCGACAAAACATGCAAACGACGCGAGAGTTTTCGGCTTTTTAGCCCTCGCTGTAAATTTCTGAGCCCATTCACATCTATGTCTCTCTCTCTCTACATGCCGCTAGTGCATACAAAGAAGAGCTTCTTTATTATTTTTTTTTTTTCTCATGCTCTTTTTTTCTAATCCTAATTCATTCTCCTTAATCAACGTTGTAATCTCGAGCATGGGTGGTGGCAATGTTGGACCACTCATGTCAAGGGGAAACAGCTCCCTATGAAGTAAGTGGGTATGTTGGTCGACTTGGCTAAATAAATTAAAAATGCTTAGACGGAAAACACTAGTTTACATTTTTCAATGACGGAACAGTGCTCAATTGGAATCCGAGTTTCCAATTTACAAGTCAAAAATTACACAAGTAATGTTTAATTACCAATTCACGGGTTCAATAGCTGTTCCGCGAGTTTAATTTAGTTTAATTTAAACTTTTAAGGGAGAATAATGGGGTCGAATGTCTGTCATTTTGGGTGGTCCAAGGGCAACAGATGGTGGCGGTGCTTCTGCATCTTACGGCAACGACCCACAAGCGACACTTGCTCATGGTTCAATTATTGAAGGTTATTCACCAAACATTTATTTTTTAGTTAAACAGAATTAGACTTTCTTTTTTCTTTTTTTATCGGGTGATGCATGGTTGGTTTATCAAAATGCACTGTAGCCTATGTTAGAAGAAATCACCCAACAAGAACCAAGTTTTTACATGGGAGAAGAACGTTGCTAATCACCACTGTCTACTGCATACTGTTTCTCTAGAGAAGAGAGAAAAGAATTATGATAATTTCTTTTATCTGCTTCAAAAAATTTAGAATAAATTATAATGATATCATCTAAGTCTTTGTCAATTTAGGAATCGATAGTTGAAGTACTATATGTAAGATCTTAAATTCAAATTTTATTAACATTGTAATTCAAATCAAAGTCTTTGGATCGGGTAGATTTAGGTAAAAAGCCCTACAATTTAGGACATTGTTTCTTGGATCATGGTATTATTGATTGATGTGAAGTATCTAACAATTTTATTGGCAATTAATTTTTATTGAAAAACTTATGTGATCACTTTTAAGTGTGATCACTCATCTCAGTTACCTTTTTTTTTTCATTCATAATATTTAAACTCAAGATTTCACTTGAATCAAACTCTAACTTCACTTGAACTAATAACTCAGTTGAAGCTTAACATTTGTTTGTTTGAATGGAAGTTGAGAAGAAAGAAGATGAGAAGTGGAAGTCAAAAAATTGTTTTAAGTTTAAAAGATAAGTAGAGGAAAATACAATGTAGAACGCACAATAAAATAAAATCTCTTTTCAAATAAAAAAAAGTAAATAGGAAAATAGAGTGATAAAAGTGTGGGTCCCACTTTAAATTACAATTTTAGCTTCAATATTTCTTATTTACATTTCATGTATTTATTATATATTAAGAGCAAAAATGTCTTTATAAGAAAAATCATTTTCTTTTTCTCTACTTTTCTATCCAACTAAAATACTTGATGAGAAAAAAACTTGTTCCGGCCAAAGGGTGGACTAGGGTTTCTTCCTAGGTCAAGCCTCAAAGCCAAAGCATTCAAAAGTGTAATCTGCCTTCTCAACTCTAGGGTTTTGGGTTTTATGGTACGTCGTTCATGAGCCTCTTGGGCCCCGAGAATGAAGGGATTTTCCTAACCGTTCTTATCACTAGGGCGCGGGGTTAGCGGCGCTGAGTCTAGTCGGGTTATGACCGACTGGGTCCATACTGAGGATCCAGTCGGGTTCCTACCGACTGGGTCCATACCGAGGGTCCAGTCGGGTAAATGTCGGGTAATAAGAGGAATCGAGTTTGTAGGTCGAGTCGGATCATGACCGACTATGTATGTGCTGAGCCTTCGGTTAGGTTAATGCCAAGTGGAAGATCATGGTCGCCCTATTGCCGAATAGAAGACCAGGTCGGATTACGACCTGGACGACACACTTGCCATGGTCGCCCTATTGCCGAATAGAAGACCAGGTCGGATTGCGACCTGGACGGCACACTTGCCTTCCAGCCTTGAGCCTATGAGGCGTAAAGGCTAAAGTAATTGCTCCTTTCGAATGCTCTCGGCAATAGGCCGAGATTGCCTATCGGGAAAAAGCCGAGACAGTACACTTGCCTTTCAGCCTTGAGCCTATGAGGCGTAAAGGCTAAAGTAATTGCTCCCTTCGAATGCTCTCGGCAATAGGCCGAGATTGCCTATCGGGAAAAAGTCGAGACAGTACACTTGCCTTTCAGCCTTGAGCCTATGAGGCGAAAAAGGCTAAAGTAACTGCTCCCTTCGAATGCTCTCGGCAATAGGCCGAGATCGCCTATCGGGAATAAACCGAGGCAGGATATCACGTAGCACCATGATTCCCTAGAAGTTGATAAGACGTGTCTCTTCACCTTACTCGAGGAGGGACGTGTATTTATTGCAGAGTTGCAGGGGTGCGAATGATGATTGTGCCACGTGGCGGCGCCTGTTACTAAAGTTAATGCAGTGGGTCCCATTTTTCCTTCCCTCCGCTCGCATTCTTTTCTCCGGCGATATTTGCCCCCTTTTTCTTCGTTTCCTCCTGGTGGTTCGTGGCGGACTTGTGGTGTTTAGAGAGGAAAAGTGGTGTTTGTGTGACCTTAGGTACGCCTATTTATTGTGCTGTTTGTGCATCATTTTGGTTGCTTAGTGTATCTAGGTCTTTAGGAATCCATGGCGTTTCTAAATTACAAGGAAGTTTACAATTGGGTAAAAGATGATGTCTTGAAATGTGATTCTTGCATAAACTCCTGGGCTGCTATGGAGAGTTTCAATAGTGACCATGTAGTTGCCCGTGGTATTGATAACATCCTTGCTTGTGAACCTTGCATAGATGGTGAGCCCGTGTGCATAAGTTCGTCTTCTGAGCATTTTACATTTTGTTATGTTACCCTTATTTCGAAGCTTAAGGTAAAGTGGCCTTTGACCGAGTGCGAGAAAGGAGTCCTTAGGACCTTGAATGTCGCCCCAACTCAATTTCACCCAAATAGTTGGGCCTTTGTCAGGGGTTTTGAAATCATGTGTTCTGGACTCGGAATAACGCCGACCTCGAGTAAATTTTTTTATTTTTTTGAAGGCCGAATATCCAAACGGAGTAGTTGGGCGTCCGTTAGTAGTGTCTCGGGGCGGGGGTTGTTGTCTCTTTTTCAGTCGTCCTATAAGGACTTTAAAAGGTCATTCTTTCGCATTCGGTGCTTGCCCGGTCACGAAGATTTACTTGAGGGGTATCCTCTTTTCTGGAACCAGCATCCGACCTCCTTTGGTGGGCTAAATCCTGAGTCACTCCTGGAGAATGACCGAGAGGATGTTAAAAAACTTGAAGACTTGAAAACTCTTTTCAACACCACAAAACTCCTAGATCTAGAAAATAGGCCCCAAGAGTTGAAAATATATATAGGTACTTGCGCTTGTTTGAATGTTGAAATTGTGTACTCTTGTCTCTGTCTTATTATTTAATTGTTGGGTGCTTTTTTGCAAAAAGAATGGCCAGCTTGGGTACTCGGGAAATGATGAAGTTATGGAAGCAGCAAAAAGCTTCCCAAGTCACCGGTGTAAACGAGTCGGTCACCGAGAGGGTTGGCGTGGCCGAGAATCCTGTGACTTTGGCGAAAAAGGTGGGTGAAACTTCGCACAAGCGTCGCCGTGAAGCTGATAGGCCAATCTCGGTGGTTAATTTGGATACTACTATGGCGTCTGAAGGGGATAAAGGCGACGAGGAGGTTCAATCAGTTGAGAGGACTATCAATGTTTGCCTCGGTGAGAATTGGTATCCGGTGAGTCACGACGCCGACCGTGGCGACGTGGCTTCTTTCTGGGATGAAAAGTTCAATCACAGCGCCCATATTCGTGGGACTGACCTGCTGAAGGGAGATCGTGGGGACTTAGAAAAAATGAGCGCTTTCTCGATCGCCAAAGGGATCGAGTCCTTGACGAATCGTCTGTCCGCCTTCTCACTTGTTAACGAGGATAAGATCTGTGGGTTGGTGCGCGAGACTAAGTTACAGGGGAAAAAGATCTTGTCCCTTGAGGAGAGCTTGGTTAAAAGCAAAGCCGATTTCAAATGGGTGTCAAATGAGAGAGACAACTTACTTGAAAGTCGGCGTGGCTTTGATGAAGAGAAGAAGGCTTGGGCTTCCTAGAAGGCAACCCTTGAGAAAGCTCTGGAGGAGGCTCGACTTGCTTGAGACAAGAGCGCCGATGCGGCTCAGGTCTTTGAGAATGACTTGGCCTTGGCGAAGGCGGAGGTCGAGAAGTTGCAGGTTGATCTCCAAGCTGTTAAAGTGGATTCGCTGCAAAAGTTTATGCAGGGCTTTGATGCTGCCACGGGTCAAGTGAAGTTCCTCTATGCCGATCTCGACCTTGGAAGTCTCGGCTACTTCAAAGAAGTCGTGGATGGCGATCTCGTGGACCCCCCGGAAGATGATTGATTTTGTACTCTTACACACTTGTGTTTGTTTTTGTGTTTTTGGCCTTTTGCATTATCCTTGTAAACCGGACAACTATGTTTTGATATGAAGTACTTTTCGTTTGACTTTGTGTGTAAGTAGAGTTAGAATATATACTCCGTGTTTAGAGCTTAAGCGCTTGTTTGGCTAAAAATCAAAATTGACGAATGGATCGCCTAAATACCGACCATAAAATGTGGCAAAATTTTTCTAAGTTTAAAATTAAAATTGATGACCGGATCGCCCAAATGCCGATCATAAAATGTGGAAAAATTTTGCTAAGTTAAAAATTAAAATTGATGACCGAATCGCCCAAATGCCGATCATAAAACGTGACAAAATTTTGCTAAGTTAAAAATTAAAATTGATGAATAGATTGCCCAAATACCGATCATAAAACGTGGCAAAATTTTGCTAAGTTTAAAATTAAAATTGATGACCGGATCGCCCAAATGCCGATCATAAATGTGGCAAAATTTTGCTAAGTTAAAAATTAAAATTGATGAATGGATCGCCCAAATGCCGATCATAAAATGTGGCAAAATTTTGCTAAGTTAAAAATTAAAATTGATGAATGGATCGCCTAAACACCGATCATAAAACGTGGCAAAATTTTGCTGTTAAAAATTAAAATT